AAAAAATCATGGGAAATTTACCAGAAAGTTGTATGGGATAACAGGTCACCCTGAAGTTAAGGATTATCTTTTGCTGCTTTTTTAATCTCAATGAGATTAAAATCTAAACTTCTGCTAGAATACACAGGCAATGTCAACGCTGACATTTGCTAATTTCTGAGTGACTGACTTTGCAGTCTCAATGTTCTTACAATATTTAAAAAATACAGATAATACAGATTGGCCTTCTTGCCCTCGTGGCCAAGAAGGCCAATGGTATCCTGGGGTGCATCAGGACAAGTGTTGCTAGCAAGTCGAGGGAGGTGATCCTCCCCTTCTACTCAGCCTTAGCGAGGCCACAACTGGAGTCCTGTGTCCAGTTCTGGGCTCCCCAACACAAGAGAGACATGGAGCTCCTGGAGCGAGTCCAGTGAAGGGCTACTAAGACGATTAAGGGACTGGAGCATCTCTCTATGAGCAAAGGCTGAGGGAGTTGGGACTCCAGCCTGGAGAAGAGAAGACTGAGGGGAGGATCTGATCAATGTGTATACATATCTGAAGGGAAGGTGTCGAGAGGATGAGGCCAGTCTCTTTTCAGTGGTGCCCAATGGTAGGACAAGCAGCAACGGGCACAAACTGAACCACAGGAAGGTCCATCTGAACATGAGGAAAAACTTCTTTTCTGTGAGGGTGACTGAGCACTGGAACAGGTTGCCCAGAGAGATTGTGGAGTTTTCTTCCCTGGAGATACTCAAAAGCTGTCTGGAAAGGATCCTGGGCAATGTGCTCTAAGTGACCCTGCTTGAGTAGGGGGTTGAACTAGATGATCTCCAGAGGTTCCTGCCAACCTTGGCCATTCTGGGATTCTGTGATAATTACATATACTGCTAAAGTGTTTCTTTTTCCTTATCTTGTCTTACAGATAAACTGTGTACTTAGGGCCCTGAGTGTATCAACAGCCTGTAATTGCTCTGACCAAGTTGCTATCCTTCGTTCTCAGTGATCCTCCTCTGCAAGTCCTGCCTGCCTCCCCGTCCCACCCAGGGGTAGGGGCAACTCAGATACAGCTCAGCTGCCTGGCCATGGAGCTGGTGGTGAGCCTGAAGAGGAGCAGCTGTGGGAAGCCACAAGCACGGCCTCTGCACTGCGCTGGAAACCACCAGTAAGAACAGGCCATGGCCTAGACCCCGACCCCGGCCACGCTGTAGGGAGCAGCAAGAGCAGCTGCTCCGCATGGGCAGACGAGACAGCAGGCAAGGGGCAGCGTGCTCAGCAGTAAGGGGCGTGCTCCCGTAGCACCTCAACAAGAAGAGCCAAGTGGGCTGATGACAGTAACCAGGGCCAGTGATTGCCAGGCAAGTTGGGAGCCATGGCGCAGTCCAAGGTCAAGCAAGGAAGTCAAGTCAGCAAGGCACAAGGCCAGGCACACACTTACCTACAGCTGAGTCCATCCTGCCTCCTGCAGGCTGCTCCCTCCTCCAAACAGTCCCCTTCCTATGTTTCTAAGCAGGTGGTCATAACCTTTGTTGCTGTTCTGTGTCTGTCTTATGCCTGGGGTTGCTTACTCACCAAGGCCAGGGGATACTACACATCATTCATTTTCACAGACATAAGTATTTCCCTCACCCCACAGTAGTCTGTTAGACCTCATATTCCCTCAGGGTACTCATCTAAAGTTAATATGATTTCCAAACAAATCATTTAGTTTTGCCAAAGTCAAAGTTTTAACTTCAATGACTCGGTCATTATTTCATTATTTTGATTGCACAAAGAATTTTAAAGAATGGAGGTCAGTGGAGGAAGTTACTTAAGTTACCTTGGCTTCATTATTCCATACTCCTTTAAACAGGACTAATCAGACTTTCAAAGGACTGATCAGTTCCAGTTCCCATTCAAAGCAGAAGGCTCTGCATTCACTTAACAGTTGTGCAAGCCAAGCATGTCTATCTCAATGCCTATATCCAGATAGGAGAACCTGGATGCAGGGAGCCAAAGAGCATGTGCAATGCATAAGAAATAAGAATAGTATTGGATGTATGCTTATTGGTTTATACATAAAGGGAAAAGTACGACAAATAATGAATTATAAATTTCCTAGTTAGACTCATATCTTACTTTTAATCAACATTTTTCTGCAATATCTACAAACATGATGTAGACACCTTTACACTCGGCATTAGCTCAGCTGAACTGTGATTTGGGAATGCAGATTTCTATGCTCTGTAACATTTCCAAAACAGATGTACTGGAAACAAACAAACATGTTTGAGTGCTGTTGCAGTACTGGGAGAAGTGTTTGAGCATACACCTCCTCTCTTGTGGATTGTATCTAAAAAATGCTCATCAACCGCAAGCAAGATTTACTGGCCAAGAGAGACAAAAGCAGCAAAAAAACCCCAAAAACCCAACTATATAATAAGCATCCTGTACTGGTGTAACTCAGATGTAGACCACCTTCAAAGTATTGCATTCGCTTCAAATAAAATTACATGCTTGAAAAATAATGTGATAATTTGGCCCCTGAACCTTAGGAGGTGCTAGCAAAGAGAAATGTGGTGCATCTAATAGATTTATATCTAGAGCACGAATACTGTGGAATCCACTGGTAAGTCTTTTTATTGCTAAAATCTGACAACCTCACAGAGGTTGCCAGGTATTCCTTCCAGTTCACAAACACTTTCTAAGGGCACTTGCAAGTTTTGATAGGAGTCAGAATTTCCTGGTCAATTTTATTCCCACTACCTCTAAATTTCTTTTCTTTCTGCCTACGAGCATCATTTTGCCCCATTTGGGGGCATAGAGGCTCTTCCTCTAGGAGATACTTAGCAATATCGGCAACATCCTGTTTCAGTTAGATACCAAGTAATTCTACTTATACATTATCATTTTACAGAAAAGAGAGATCACTGAATACAATAACAGAGCAAAGAGCAGACTGCAAAGAAGGAGGAAAAAAAATGAAGGACAAAGTGACAGAAACACCAAGAATTTTATCTTACTAACATAGGATTTTAAAAGTGATACCTCATTTTGTAACCAAAGATGCCTTACTTAATAACCAAGGAGACAATTATTTTCCTTTCTGTTGGAATATTCTGCTTAGCAGGTTGTACTTGAGAAGGGCAGTACAGTGTGACTTTGGGGAACAAAGGGGGAGGGTTATGAATGCATGTTGTTCGTGGCACATGTTCTACTATAATGTATTCATTGGTATCTATTTACTTACATGCATATCAAAATAATCGTTTGCTTAAAGAAAAAAAATGACAAACTGAATTCTGTGAAGAATTCATCCTTTCCTCTGTGACTGTCGCTATACATTATTGGACAAAGCATTTTCTACATAATTCATTGTGTAATAATTTATCAAAATAGTGAAGTCTAAGCCATAGAAATAAAATTGAAGGAGGTTTTCAAAATCCTGCTTAAATGGTACCACATAAGTCACTAATAACACAACAGGGTTTTTTGTTTTTTTAAATACACAACAGGGCTTTTACAGGAAATGCCATCAAAGCCAAGGAAAGAGACTATCCATCTGCCTGCCCCATTTTAGATGACTTTTCTATCAGTAAAACGGTTATTGGCAGAATGAGCTCTTTCAGTTTATCCTAATGATACACCACAGACGAATCAATGAATCACTCTTCATGGAAAGCGATTTGAACAGCAGTTATTCCCAACTTCCAAGAAGAGAGTTTCACTTTTTTCTGTTGTTAAGCTGTGGCTTTAGGGACAAAGCCTACCACAAAACAGCACCCAAACCACTCACTATTAATTTTACTGCCCTTTGATTTACTAACTTTTCTCCAAATAGTGTTGACAGGAAGGACAGTTTCTTCTGTAAGGCAACAATTAATTGTGGAAAACAGGCTAGTTAATTGCTAAAAGCTAAGACAACATCTAGAGATGTAACATTCTGCTCTTTATTGGCATCCTTCCTCTCTCTTCTGACTGCAATAAAACAAATAAACCTTTTAGAGCAAATTGCTCTTTTTAGTTCCTTTGTGAGGTATTCACTACATGTAAGTGCAGTCATCCGAGTCTGGTGTTCTTCAAGCCAAACTAGACAACATGAAATTGTATTTTACTTCAAGTGGAAGTTAAATTGTTTTATATAGCTGCAGTTTTGTCTAGATTATCATCTGACAACCATATAAAGGTGCATACATATAAACACTCAAGAAAGAGACATTGCTGTGTTCCTGTCCTTTCTGAACCCACCAAATCAGTCTTTGATATTTCAGTGGAAGGCAGAATCATCCAAACACACCTCAATCTGCAACAGAAAGCAGAGAAAATGGAAGGGAGATAGTCCATTTCTCTGTCCCTAGCTATTATCACTTCTTCCATCATTCCTAACAGGTCCTGCTCCTAAAAATATTCACTGATGGAAATTTTGGGTAATACATTCTAGTACCTAACTATCCTTAGCTGATGTCTAATTTAAATCCACCTTGCTGCAATATACATCCATTCTTCCTCTAGCCAAGTAACCATGGATAAAGAGAAGGGATGATACCCTAGTCTGGATGTTTATTTCAAAAGCTGCATTTCCTGCATATGGTTTGAATGTTTTCTGCAATCTGCATGATAGAAAGAAATAGATATGGCACTGACTTCTAAAACAGTAAGTTCTCAGAAATTATTTGAAAAATTATTGATAGAAAAGGTCACTTAACTACCATTCCTGTAATAACCACATCTTTAAACACACTCAAGATATACTTTTTGTGTTTATAGATAAACTTTACAAGATGCTGAAGATGTTCACAAGTTCTTCACAAGACAGACATGCATTTATGCATTAGGAAAAACGCGAAATGACAGAAAACCTTCATGAATATCACACTGTTCTTTTATGTTAAGATGCATGATATAATGTTAATTGTCCTTTCTTGCTGTCAGGTTTTCAGGTCTATGCTTGCATTACTACCAACTTAAAATACCATTCAATTTCACAAGTATGTTGATTCTAGCAGAAATGTAGGACTAGAATCTTTAGTTCTAACAAATATTACCTTTATCAAAAGCAACCATTCTTCTACTGATGATCTCCTAAGGCAATCATTTCAAATGTGACTTCTAAAGCACTGGAAAGTAAGAAAGAAAAGTATTAATGATAAATCATTCTAATGAAAACAAATACATAGGAACCCTGTTATAGAATGAAGAGTTTGTTTAATTATGTGAGAGAAAGAACATTAACATACTGCTTATTCTTTATATTGAGAAGCCCACAAAGGCATGTAAGAAGTACTTAAAATAACATTGTTTATATTCCAGAAAGTATACACGAGGATGCTTACAATAGCTCCATAACAAAGCATGAAGGCCAAAAAACCAACACACCCCTAAGACTGTTAATTACAAGGAAGAAAAGTTTACTTTTTAATGATAAAGCAAACTAGCAAACTCTACCTTGTTTTCCTATAAAACAGGCAACCCCCTTTAGATTTGAGATATGGGCTTTTTCAGCTCCTCCATTTCCCTACGGCATAGTAAGAATAGCTTGACAGAACAAAGAAGAATTGTACTCTGTAAATGGCAACTCTTTACATGTTCTATATTTGGAGCATAATCTCTCTAGGCAATAGGCCTCCCATCACGCTGAAATAGTCAAAACATTCAACAACCGCTGAAAAATGGTGGTGGAGCAGGATAGAAAATACCACCGATGCATCATACTAAAACAGAAAGGAATGAAAATACTAGAGAACTCAGAAGAGTTTTATTACAGCCACATGAATTCAGATAGGAAAATAACTAACTAAACTGTTATCACTTTTTTGGATAAATGAAGAGCTAGAGAAACACAAACCGTTTCAAATAAAAAAAATGAAGATTAAACACTTAAACATACCTGTGAAAAAAGATAAAAATTGGAAACTGAGCATAGAAGTCACAGGAGATGATATACAAATATTTTTCAGACTGAGAAAAAGGCCAAAGAATGTATTTTGGGGCTACTAATTCATAGGAGTTTTTAGGTATGTGCAAGAATAGCTGTAGGTATAAGCATAAGACTTGGATTCCGTTGCTGAAAATGGGATTCCAGCTATAGTTTACTTAGCTAGGTGTCTGAAGCAGTAGGAAGGAGATGGAGTTCATCACAGCCACATGTTAAATAATTAGTTTATGGCCAATGAACCACACCAGGAAATATTTTCCAAGAACACTGCTACCCTCCCCCTCAAAATCTTGAAATAAATAGATCTTCAAAAACATTCCAGTAATCACTGAAGAAAACAACCAGGGTAAAACATGCAAATATTCTAAGATGCATTAGCAGAAGATGTGGAAAAATAAGAGCAAATGTATACGACTTTTTTAGGACCGTGTCCAATAAGCTTGTAAGTTACTGAGCAACTCCTTTTGAAAACATAATTGTTTCTGCCCACCGAAGGCTCTGCTTAGTTAACAAAGCAGATAGCAGATCTCATATTCTAAGTTGATAACAGGAGAGATACAATTCTCTTTGTAAAAGTAACTTTCAGATCATTTAAGAAACCACTTGCAGTTAAGAATACAAAAGGTACATTGAGGTGTAGTGTTACATACCGCAGTGTGGTATGAACATGAAAAAGCTGTAATAGGCTAGAAAAAAAACAGCTCATGAGAAGTTGTGGATTAAGCCTTCTCAATCCAGTGCTGGTTACTATTCTAATTCTTATTTTATGTTAATTTTTGAAACATAGTGTCTTCCAATAAACTAGCACTAATTTCTTCATTTCACACTGATACAAAAGCTTAGCAAATTTCATGAGGAAAGATCATTTGAAGGAAGCGACAGAGAAATCACAGAAAGGTAAGACAGGATGAACAGAGAGCAATAAGAGGATGTCTTACGTGTTTGTGCTTTTCTTAGGATTTCTACTCAAATAAATATACTGTCTACTCTGGATCACAGCTAAAAAGCAGCCCGTTAACTTCAGCAAAGTTCTGTTCTCAGACTTTTTTATTTCAGTTTTTATTCCATGAAGATAACCATCACTGTTTTAGACTGCATTTAGAAAAAGAATCAATGGTACAGGCCTGCAGAAACAAAAAAAAAATCTATTTTAGAAAATAGATCCAACTTTTCTCAAATATACTATTATGATAGCATGACACACAGATACAATTGTAACAAAGCTTAACACTAACTCTTATTATTCTTTTCTGCTGAAGTGACCCACATATAGAATAGCTGAGGTTTCAACTTCAATTCAATCTTAAATTGATACTTTAGAAATTAAAGGTCCATGAAACAAACACACAAGACTCAGATAAGCTGCACAGATGCTGAAACTGCTCTGTTCATGTAGGTCTGATTCAAAAGGCTTTTAATATTAAACATAACAGTAATTTTCATGAATTTTCTCTTGCTTAAAACACACGGCACCGAGTCATTAAAAAAAATGAGGACTGTCAGAGATACTAGCCAAACATCATTTAGCAAAAAGACTAATGACATGATTCAGTGTTCCATAAATACTGCAGTTAATGATTCTGAATGATTTTTGTTTAGCCAAACTCCTATTTTAGCAAAATACCTATGCCCACATTAGAAGTTCAGCACTACTACTAAATTCAAGCACATACCTAATTACTCTCTTGATCGAGATTTTACCATGCATACTTCAAACACATGAAAAATAGCTCCAATCCACATCAAAATACATAATGCCTTCTGTTTCAGTATCTGCCCATTCCAGTGTTTCAGCATCCTAGGGAAAAAAGCACCGGATGATTCCCTCCCCACATATCTGTACCTCTTCCCCCTTCCAAATACTAGAAAAACCCTTTGTCAAAACCCTCAGCCCTCAACATGCACTCAGGTGAGACGTGCATTAGATAACCTTTGGTATATCCAGAAAAAACACCATACATAAATTGTGCCTTTATGCCAATCTAACCCTCAAGCTGCACATTTGCAACAGAAAAAAATCATGTACCATTGCTTTGATGCTTGTGACGCTATATAAATAATAGGTAAGGGACTACTGTATGAAGTGTCAATTAAATATTCATTTCATATTTAAAGTTTATTAAAATAAATTTGTGTTCAAGATGATGTTGCTAGGAGCACTCATTAGTATTCTCCTTACCCATACGCAGCATGCAAAACAAAGCTTCAGTCTTGCAAATAACTTAAGTAATATGTAATATATTGACATGTTGACCAATGTTTAATAAATAATGGGCAAGTTCATTCCCCCCTAAAAGCCCCAGTGGAAGAAAGTGGCTTTCAAGTCAGCACACAGAGCAAACTGAAATAAGTTTAGTTGCTTGAAGATAAGGTGAACTTGCTTCTGTGCAGCATTTTCTGACTATCTGAACTAGTGGAATGACCAGGCTAAGTCTTCAGACCACAGTTTAAGAAGTATTTGCTAGAAAAACCAACCTTTCTCTTCTGTTTTCTTGGTTTTTTGTTCATTATCCCTTCAGGTAGTAGACAATTCTGGAAACTGATACTCAGGGTAACACTTCACATCAGTAGTCTAGGGCCAAAATCATTTGTGTCAGTTTAGTGAGTAAAGATGGGTAACATAATGGCAGTTTGCACCACTGGGCTCTGCACTGTATCGTCCCCCAAAAATCATACTGCATTCAGGAAAACTCTTAAGTATTTCTTTATGAAGCTAGTTGTACTTGTTACTACTGAGCTACACATACATAAACTTCATGAGAGCCTGCTCTAGAAAGTTCATATTCAAAGCTGTAACATCATAGCATCCACAAAGCCTGTAATTATATAAATACTTTTTTCTTTCAGAAAAAAATATTGTTTCACAGATGAACTTGCAAACTGGGCTTATCTCCAGGATTATAAACCTATTTTTCTAAGCCAGGTATTTATTTAGTCTGAGCAGTTTGTTTGAAAAATTATAGAACCATTTTGTGATGAAACTTTTCTTCCTACCAAAAGCATGACAAAATTACTTTAATCAGGATATATTTTAAAAGCTCTAATTTTCAGTGACCCAGAATTGGTTGGCTGTGAATGGTCATTTACCTTCTCTTACAGTTTTTTTCTCTTTTTAAAAGAGCCCTGTGGAGAACAACTGACACCACATACTTTCTTCTTCTAAGGAGGCGGTGCAAAAATTACCGTCAGCAAACCTGGGGCCAATAATTTAATCTAATGAGAAAACTAAGCTTATCACAAATCACAATGTAATTTGCATTCCCATTGCTTCCTGACACTCTTTAAAAATATAAACTCATTTAGTCATAGTGTTTGCAAACATGCAAGGCAGCTGAATCTCACAGAAGCGTGAAGCTACTCCACCAGCCAGGTGAAGAATTCTTGAAATTCCATTTTAATGAAAATATATTGCTTCCCACAGAAAATACCAAACTTGCAAGCTGAATTGACAGCCTACCTCTCAATGAAAATTTTATATAGCTTCATACTGGGAAATATATTCACTTGTTATTACTGGAATAAGTTCAATCACCAGCAAGAAGGCAATGAAAACAGAAGGGTCTATTCCTCTTACAGCATAAAAAGTGATCAACAGTGAGTCTTGTGCCATGAGGAAAAAAAATCATAAACAGTAAACCTGCTGTTAGTAAAAGGTGTCAACGTTACTACTAAAAAACCTGAATGCCTTTATTTACCCATATGTGGATAGATACATGGGATATGCAGCAGCTCTAGCCTGGAGGAGTCACACAAAGCCAGACTTGTGACTGTTGCAATAAAAAAGCCAGTAAACGTGCCAATACCTATGAACAGAAGGGTACCCCCCATACACTCCCTCTTCTCTGGTGGGGAATGGGGAAAGGAAGCTACTGGTAAGGGAAGGCAAAGCAATACAGACATATGCTCCTGTAAAACCACCAGCTTATTTCACAAGCCCTCCCTACACAGCTAAGAGGTAGGTCCAGGTTTCAGTCACTACTGACACAAACAAGGTTCACACACGGGGTCTGGAGAAGAAAGAGTCACTTGCGCCCTTGAGATTCCTTTTTCCCCAATACACTTTAGACCTTCACGTTTGTGAGGTAACAAGTTAAGTTTCAGCCACTCACACCAATACGCCATAAGGCAGAAGAGAAGATGAGTTCGATGCCCTGGGTAACATCCCTCAACATAACAAGGAAGAAAAAAAAAAGAAGAAATAAGAGCAGCAAAGCAAAAAACAGCAAAAAAAACGTCCATGGAAAATTATGAATTAAAAAATTTGAACAGAGGTAAAAATATGAAAGGAAAATACAGAGTTAACACAAGTAAGAAAGCTACACAAAAGCAATGAGTTTTTAAGATAGATCAGCAATTAATCTTACTACTAAAAAGATGATGATAAAAACATTGTTAAAATGAGGCCAATGGTATCCTGGGGTGCATTAGGCAGAGTGTTGCCAGCAGGTCGAGGGAGGTGATCCCGCCCCTCTACTCAGCCCTGGCGAGGCCTCCCCTGGAGTACTGTGTCCAATTCTGGGCTCCCCAGGACAAGAGAGACATGGCACTCCTGGAGAGAGTCCAGCAGAGGGCTACCAAGATGATTAGAGGGCTGGAGCATCTCTCCTATGAAGAAAGACTGCAAGAGCTGGGCCTGTTCAGCCTGGAGGAGAGAAGATTGAGAGGCGATCTCATCAACGTGTACAAGTATCTGAAGGGGGAGTGTCAAGAGGA